AGTACCTAAAGGGAGCCTACAAACAGGAGGGGAATCAACTCTTTGAAAGGGTGGATAACTGCAGGACAAGGAGAAATGGTTTGAAGTTGAGGGAGGGAAGATTTGGGTTGGATGTCAGGGGGAAGTTCTTTCCTGTAAGAGTGGTGAGGTGCTGGAACAGCTGCCCAGAGAGGCTGTGGATGCCCCGTCCATCCCTAGAGGTGTTCAAGGCCAGGTTGGATGGGGCCTTGGGCAGCCTGGGCTGGTATTAAATGGGGAGGTTGGTGGCCCTGCATGTGGCAGGGGGTTGGAGCTTCATGATCCTTGAGGTCCCTCCCAGTCCTGGCCATTCTGTGATTCTGTGAAAAGTATTCAACAGCCCCAGTCTGAGGGTGGTTCAGAATGAGAGAGGCAACAATGATGGAGTTGAGAAAACCCACAGTTGTCTTAACAGCACTCTTGTGAGAAGCCTTCTTTGTAAGGCTGCCTCTGTCATGCTCTCCTGAATGCACAGTAAGTCAATGCATGTGTAAGAAGATATTGTTACTTAACTCTATTTCTAAGTACTTGGCTGACAATTACTGAGGGGTAGGTGGAGGCCTCATTTTAATTTTAAAGAGCACTGTGCACGTGTTCTCTGACCGCACAGCTGAATTGTAGAACTCATTTCAGGAGGGCAAAGGCCTAAGAAAGGTCACCAATGGTCTTTGGCATTTCTGAATAGAAATCATAGTTTGTGTGGATTTGTCCCCTGGGAGGCAAGTTTTACTGGAATGGTTAGAATCCGCGCCACGAGTTTGGTGGTCATGCATGAGCTCAGATGTGTTTGGTACAATTAACGTCAAGTTAATTTATTACATGTATTATTCCAAATGAACTGTGGTGTTTGTTGTCTAGCTTCACCAGTACGAGTGTGAGGAGCCCAGCACGGCTCAGCCTGGTGCGTGGCAGTGTTGAGGAGAACTGCCATCCCCACTTGGTGTTGTGGAGTGGAAATCCATTTTAGCAGACCTGGGGAAGTAGCTAGCAGTAGTGCTGTGACAATTTCAATTAAAGGTCTGAGAATGGTAATTATGTTTACATTCCAGCAGTCTGATTAAACGTAAACTAATTATGCAAAAAACTTAAACTGCGACCTGAGTTACTCTTGCTGACTCACAGTTGAATTTCAGCAGAGTTTTTGGATAACATTATCATTGCAGAAAGCTTCCTTGTTTTTTTTTGTTTGCTTTTTTTTTTGTAGATGGTGGGATGTTAATGATATTTGATGATATTACTGGAACAGTGTCATCTTCCCTTCTCTCTTTCCCTACTTCTGTCATGCAGCCTCAAGCATAACTGTATGGGAAATGCTGAGTCCCAGCCTGAACCACTGATGGAGCACCTGGGGAAAGGACTGGGTGAGCCCTGGGAGCACAGGTGAAGGCAGTTCAGATGTGTGATGGGAAGGGATGGAGCCTGGCTGCACCTCTCTTAGACCTCATTGAAGGGCTGAGTGCTGCTGGGGAAGGAGCTCTGGTTGGAGATCTGTTCTTTATGGAGGTTTTCTGCAGGCCTGGGTCTTTGGAGGTGGGTGGGTGGGTGAGTGAGTTTGTTTGTGACATCCTTTCATTGTGTTGATCCTTCTGCCTATACAATAGCCTTCAGCTGTTTTTAGAGTCAGCTCTTCAGAACCCTGCTACTGAAGCAAGAAGCATTCAGTTCCGTTTGTACAAGAAATGAGGGAATATGAAATCTTTGTGTAGATAATTAATTATATTTCTGAAGCAAATGTGAGTTCAGAAGGGTTTGCTATGCTGGCTTTATAGGAACTGTTCTACCCAGTGCTGGTGTTCAGTCAGTAACCTGGAACAGTCCTGAACACTTAATGGCTGTGGTCTGAGAGCTGCTGGATTGATGCACCAGTACACAGCAAAATCACAGGACGTGGGGGTAGCTCACATAGGAAGAGACCTCAGTTGGTAACTTCTAACCCTCTCTGCACAGAGCAGCACTCATTTCAGTGTTGCTCCAGCCCTGAAAGCCTTGCATTGGTGTACAAAGAGACATGCTTTGCAGCACCGATGTTTCAGCTAGGGAACAAAGCCCACTGCATTTGAATGAAAGAATAACAGCATCAAAGTTTTGTCTGTGCGTGTTTCCTTTTGATGCAATATAATTCAGTCATCAGAGCCTGAATCGCAAGCCTTGGTGCTGCATCCTGTCATCCTTTTGTGGGATTTCAATATCAAAATACGCAGAAAAACGGAGACTTGTATTCATCAGTTAACAGTATTTCACCACCTCAGGTTTGCAGCTTTCATGTCTGTTTTAATGATTGTTTAAAAACGTGAACAAGTGCAGCAACAAAAGCCCTGTTAATTGAACTGGAGCTGACTGGCTTACAACATTGTGAAGAGGTTATAACTTGTAATTTTGAAGAAGTGTTTTTCTTTATGCTTAAAGAATTGCAATGCCTGTAGTTCTACAAAGGTAGCATTTAAACTGAGCCCTGGGTTGGTCTCAGAGTAAGTCTGCCTTTTCTCACTCCTGGTCTGAAAGCAGCAGAGCTCTAATTCACTGCAGCATCTTCTGCTGGTCTGCCAAGTGACTTTGACCAGAGCTGCTCAACAGGCTGCTTGCTTCCATGTGCTGTAGGCTACAGACAGCTCCCATAGCAGAAGCACTGCAGCAAAGTATGCTTTCCATTTTCCTGTGGGAATTGATTTCTGTTTCTCTTTATTGCCCGCTTGGAAGAGAAGGCTGGTGGAAACATCTTGCAGAGATGAAATGTGGCTGCATCTCAGTTTGTATGCAGAGCTCCTATCTGGTGCTCGGGGTGCTTCAGTGTCAGCTGAAATCTCTCTGTATCTTCTCAAACGGTTTTCATTCTCCATTTGTCTGAGCTTCTGAACCGGTTCTCTGGTCTCTACTCTTCCCATCTGCATTTCCTGAAGATTTTGGAACTGCTGGAACCGCATTTATTTTGGGGGAAAAGTGGCTGCGTTGGGCAAAACAGTAAGTAAGTGTAATTCATCCTGATAAATTGACCTCGACACTCTTGGGAAAAAGTATAAATTGATATCAGTGTGGATTATTGCAGTGATATCTATAGGATGTCATCTGTTAATTATACAGATTATTAGGTTTTAAATGATGATAACACAATGGGTGCACTGAGTACAACACAAATAACTGCATTGGGAGCAAAGTCTTCAATTTCTATTGTTGTTGTCAAGCAGTTTCTATAGCTGCATGGAAGCTTGTTTGTTTTTATGTGTTCACTGTTGGTGCGACGTTTTTGTCGTTTTGCTTTGTGAGGGATGATTTAACACTGCTGGGAGCAATTGGGGTTCAGGAGTAGCATATGTAGAATTCTGGTCATGCAGTGAGTTGTGGTTTCTGCTGTGTTAAAGAACTGGTGCACATGTGTATTCATGCAGCTTGTTTGACTCTCATAAATAAGGCCTTCCACACCTTACAAAAACAAAAACTTGTGTTTTTTTTCTTTATTACTGTTATATTTTCCCCCTTAAGGAGTGCAGTGCAGCAGGCAGCACAGGGAGCCTTTCAGAGCATCTCTACTTGTGGTGCTTTGAAAAGAGGAGCTGCACATCTATCCCCTTCTGCCCAGTAAGTGCTGATGCCTCTGTCAACAAACTTGTCACAGGTGTAGAAATACCAGATAGCATCCCTCAAAGAATCCTGAGATCACTGACAGCTGTTACATTTTCCTGGGTATCTCTTCAGTGTTCAGACCAACAACTATAAGGTACTGAAGCGTTATGTCTAGAGAGAAGAAAAAGTGCTGTTCTGCCTTTAAAATCCAGGGCCTTCTGCTGTGGCCCTTCCCTGTCTCTTAATTATTCCTTTTCTTTTTTTTGGTGTTGTGATTCCTTTTTTGTGCTTACAGAAGTTCTGACTTCAGCTCTGGAAAACTGAACTGCCGTGCTGATTTTCAGTGAGCTGAGCAAGAATCTGCACCCTACAGCTGTACTGTGCTGGCTGTTAGCAGGAGTTTAAGGAGCTATTTAAGAAAGCTCCATCCCTGGTCAGTTGGCCCAAAAATCAGGGATTTTTCAACCTTTTGAGCTATTTTCAAAGTTGGTTTCAAACAGCCAAGGAGGAGCAATCTCTTAAAGGTTCTTCTAAAGGCATTGGACTGAATTTTGACTGACGTGTCTGAGGAGACTTCTCTGTTCCACCTAGCATTAATGTGAGAAATGAAGTGCACGTGGCACAGGAGATTCAGGCCTTGCTGCCAGTCTTTAATGAATCTGAACTTCATTTCATGTTGCCAGGTATTCTGGTCTCCTTTTCACTCGTGTTTATCAGGAGATTCCTTTGGTGTATAATCAGTACTGCCAATCTCTGAAACAGCCTTTTAATTATTCACTGCTTGGGTATCTTGTCTATATCAGTCTACCTGAATGGATGGGAGACTTATTGGAGGAAAATATATATATCCTTCAGATAAATAAACAAAGAAGGATTAGTTCTTGTTTACATCAGGTGGATCAGCAAATCACATCACTTTCCCAGCTTCCTGCTTTTGCCTTCTGAGTTCAAACTGAGCTTTTTTCAATCTGCTGTTGCTTCGGTCAACTTCTTAGACTTCATATCAATGAAGAGTTGAACCTTTTCTTCTGAAAGCCTGTTTGTGTGGCTTGGGGAATGATTTTGCCCCATAAGCCTTTTGGCCATGATGCTGTTGAAGATATGATCAGGGATAGTGTGGTAGTGGCCTTTTTGTTAGGAATTGGATGGAGAGAAACTTAATGCTGGCATCTGTTACTGTTTACGACGTCGAGTTCTCAAATTTGTCTTAGGTCAGATTAATTGTTGGGAGAACAGTTCAGGCTGAGAGCTCTGGATTCAGAAAAAGCAATCTCTCTGCATGTAATATGGCTGCAGCCACCAAGCAATTGTCTTCTGCCAGGGACTTCTGCAGCTCTGACTTTTCCTTCAGAATGAGCCCTTGCCTTGGCAGCACAGGCCGTGGGCAGCTGTTCTGGATGGAGTGAAGGTGCTGCTGGAGGGGCTGCTGGAGCCATGCATTGTTTTGCTTTGAGATTGTCTGAACCAAGTCTAAACGCTCTAAATCCTACCATGAGAATTTAAATAGATGTTTCCATTTCCAGAACTTAGCTTGGGAAAGAGCAGTTTGTTCTCAAGTGCCTGGACCCGTTAGCAGACCATCTTTTATCTGACTTCAAGTTGAAGCAGTTTTGCATTAATTCTCATGTTTGAAGTGGTGTGACAGTGTATGCAGTGCTAGGCTTTGAAAAGTCACAGAGCTGGGTGTCGTCAGCCTAGAAACGACAAATCACATCGTGCTGATCAACAGCATTACCTGGAGGAAGATAGTGACCTGGCATTGCACTAAATGGGATCAAGAGCCTTAAGGCATCCTATGAATAATGCCTGCATCAGGCAAAGGATGAATCTCCTTTTGGTGCAGACAGACATCTGTTTGTTAAAACAACTCAGGTCTAGTCAAAGCAGTCCCATTCTAACCTGCACTATGTTGCAAAGATGTGTTCTGATGTTACACTGCACAATGAGCACTGCTAACTGCAGCTCTCTGATAGCCAGCACTAACACTACCAGATTGACTGCACTGATAAATCATTACAAAGCTCAGATGAGCTGCTTGTATGCTACAGCATAACTGGCACCTCAGATGATTTCCCAGTAGAGATGACTTGTGATTAGAGAGCAGTCTGAGTAAGCAGAATTGCCTCTGCTATGCACTTAGTAGTCAGTGTGCTGAGCAAAGGCATTTACATATTTAGCCTAGTAATGTGGATGACAAAGCATGTATTTAAATACAGGCATTGGATTATTTTAGTCTGGCTTGGCATCTTTTTAATGTTTAATTCCAGGGGAATGAGGAGTTTTTTGCGAACTGTGCCATCGTGACCAGAAGTTCTACTGAATTACTGAGGATACTGACAAACTTCTCGTAATACAACTCGTCTGGAGACCTGGGCTGAGACCCTGAGGAACTGTGTACAAAGCAGCGTGGGATTATTTGATATGGCTGTAATGGAGGTGAGCAGCTCAGGGCTGGTTTGGTTCTGATAAGCTGTGTTACTTGCAATACTGGTATGACTTGGGAGCTGACAATCCTTGTGGGTCCCTTCCAACTTGGGTTATTGTTAGCATGTAAAGGAAATACCAAAAGTGGGAGAATTGGAGACAGCTAAAGCAGGAGTTATGCTGAAGTTCAGTTGTTTGGCATCTTCAGCCAGAGGTGGGTTTGTTTGTGTTTAATTATTTTGGTGCGGTGGTATTGTTCAAAGCCAGCCAAGTGTTACCAGAGCTTTTCATGTTTTTGCTACCATTTCTGCATCCAAGTGAGGCTGCAGTTTTATGAGGTGTCTCTGGAGCTGACCAGTGCGAGAGAACAGACAAAGAATAATTACCATAGATATACTCCAAGCATTGCATTGAACACATCGTTACTGTGAGATGCCCAAAAATAACATCCCAAGACTTGTCTGTACTGAGGAGGAATGGATGTGCCACTTAGAGCCTATTATTTACTGAGGAAAAGCAATGTTGGCACAAACTAGATTGCTTGAAAGCAAGGTCAGTCATTTTTCATCAAGAGAAAGTCTTGTGTTTCTGCCAGTCAACAGCTCCCACCAGTGACCTGATTCGGCTGACACAGATACAGGATTGGAAAAAATTATTCTGCTTCATTTAAATACAGATCTGCTTCTGGTTTTCAGTTTAGCTGAGCTGAACAAATATTAGCCCAGAATGATCTGAAGCTGAAGCATTCCGATAAATAGAATATTTTTTTGTGGATTGAATGGGGCACTATATTCAGTCACAAGTAAATGGAAATTTCAGCTGCACTTAATGAAAGGAAAAGTTTTGACTCGTGAGATGGAAGAAGCTGAAGTGAAGCTCTAATTTGCAAAGCAGTTCAGCTTGAAACCATTTTCCTTTTATTTATTATGAATAAACTCTTAGAATAAAATCCTTCATCCCTATATTTCAAAGCAAGTGCATGTATTTCAGGGGGAAAAGCAAAATCTTCATTGCTTACTCAGTTCTCCCCAGTAGTGAAATACTCCTCTGCTGGAGGTGAAAGCGAACCATTTCTAGACTTAAGAGTTTTGTTTGAAAGCGTGTCCTTTCATAACAATTAAATTTCTCCCTCTTTATTTAAGTTTCTGAATTTTTCAGCATTGAAGTCCAGCTGTAACTTGGAGAAAGAAACGGAAGGTGAGGTGATAATGAGCACTAAACAGTATGCTACTAAAACTTTCTTTACTTTTGAGCATCTCTTTTTTTTATCTGACAGGGAATGGCCTGTATTTGTTAGTTCTGTAGAACTGTTTAATGAGTTTGAGTTCATATGCTAATTCTAATCAGACAGCATTGGAAAGAATATCCTGGAGAGAATTTAACATATGAAGGGCTTTGGACAGATGGGTGAGTGAGTTGACCCTGGCCAGCTCCCACTCAACCTCTCTTTCACTCCTTCTCAATAGGATGGGGAGAAAATGAGATGGAAAAGCTGTTGGGTCAAGGTGAAGATGGGGAGATCACTTATCACTTACTGTAGCAGACAAAACAGATCTGACTTAGGGAAAATTAATTTGATTTATTGCCAATTAAACATAGTGCTTTAACTCCCCACCCTGAGAAGCACAGGGGGATGGGCGTGAGGGCCTGTGCTAAGTCCATAGAGCTGCTCTCTTCCTCCCATCATCCTCACACTTCTCTGTTGTTGAAGCAAGGGCTTTCAGGATAAGCCTGATCCAGCGTGGGCTTATCAAGGGCCACAGAGGAATTTCTGCTCCAATGTCTGGACTTCTTCATCACAAAAAGACGAGACCTTAAAGAAGCTGTGATTAGAATCAAGAGTCATCTGGGTTGGAAAAGACCTTCGGGATCACTGAGTCCAACCATCAGCCTGGCCTGTCAAATCCCACCACTTACCCATGTCCCTTAGTGCCACATCCCCGTGTCTCTGCAACACCTCCAGGGATGGGGACTGCACCATTGCCCTGAGCAGTGCGTTCTGACACTTGAGCACTGCCTATGTCAAGACATCTTTCCTAATATCTAATCTAAAGCTGCCTTGGCACCACTTGAGGCTCTTTCCCTGTGTCCTGTCATTTGTCACCTGAGAAAAGAGCCTGAGACCTTCCTTCCAGGTAATTCCAGAAGAACTTCTAGGTAGTTCCAGTAGAGAGCACTGAGGTGTCCCCTTAAACTTCTCCAAACCAAACAGCCCCAATTCCTTCAGCAGTTCCTTACTAGTCTTCTTTCTCTCTTGGTCTCTTTACCAACCTTGCTGTTTCCTGCATGTGCTTGAGCAACTCAGTATCCTTCTGGCAGTTAGGGGTCCAGGACAGTTTTTCTCTTCCCTCTCATCATCATCATGGCTGCTACAGAGCACACAGCTGCTCTGGTCTACCCAGTCTGGAGAGCAGAAGGCTGGGGGTCTCAGTGGTGTGCATGCACATCACTGCCTTGGTTGGGAGGGAGTCAAGATGCAGAGCCAGGATCTTTTCATTGTGCTTTTTGATTTTGGGAATAAATGGTACAGAACGGAAGCAGAAGAGTTTATGAATATGGCGAGGTTGTGTTTCAGGTAGTTCAAACTGCAGTGCAGTCACCTGCGAGCCTGAGATGTGCCTCCAGTGTGGTACCGTTTTCCTTGTACCCACTTCACATCAAGGTTGTGCTGCTGTTTTGTGCTTGGTGTTGTCCTGACGTGAATGCTGAACTTAGAGTGTCAGCAGAGGAAGTGAAGCGGTGTTGAGGAAATCTGCCTTTTAAATGAGTTGCAAAACTGATTTCTGACCTACGTGCATCTTTTAAATATTTTTCTGAAGTCTTCTGGAAGGTCTTGTATCTGATAATTCACTTACCTATAATAGGCCTTTGACTTAACTCTTCTTTCTTTATCAGGGAAGTCGGTACTCACAGCGTGTTGTCACATCTCAGCGTGGCTGTGATACACTGAAGGATGAGATTCTCCATCTCATTGCGATCCCAGGTACCCTTCTGCTTTAAAAAGAGAGGTGGCCCAAGGCAGTTCAGGCCCTTGTGCCGTTCCTCTGGAGCTGAATACAGCATTTGCCAGCCTGAACTGAAAGCTGTGCTGCTATCTGCATGCAGTGGGAAGCTGCATGAATGAGCGTTGTCTCCAGGGATGCCTTCTGTACCTTCACGTCAGTTAAGCAGTGCCTCCCTCTGTTGCTATTGCTGGCCCAGCCGCCAGGCCTGGCTTTGTGTCTGGGGCTGTGGAAGTGTCTCAGCTGTGCCCAGCACTGTGTGCAGTGGCACTGGTGGTGAGGTGCTGTGAGCAGAACAGTGACAGCAGCAATTCACCTGTGGTCTGAAGAGAGACGATTGTGAGATGAGCACAACAGGGTAACTTTGCTGCACAAGTTACAGATCTTGTTTTGTAAAGAACAAGAACTGTATTAATCTTGAAGAATATCAAGGGAATGCTTGCTGAATATTGTTGGTCAGTGGAGTCCCTCTCGGTCTGCTCAAGTGTCTCTTTGAGGCATGATTAGTTTTTCCTGGACATTGGCCTTGTGCTTCATTTGTTTTGTTTCTTCAGACCGTCACTTATGGTGGGCATCTGGCAGACATGACGCAGTGCAAACTGCCTTTGGTGTCCCATCAGGTTGGACAGGTAATGCATGCTGTAACTCCTGCGTGTACCACAGCTGAAGCCCACTAACATGACTTTATTTACCTCTTCCTAAACTTCTACCGTTATACATAAGCTTTATTTCTTTGTCTTCTGTTGCTGGCTGTACTGAATATCGATTTTTCTGCGTTGTTTTGGCAAGGCACTTCATCTGTGGCAAACAATAACTCTCCTGTTCTCCCCATATCTTTAATAGTGTTCATTTGAAAGGCTTTTGCAGTGAGGAAGTGAGAGAATATTTCATTTTTTTTCCACAGTTTTTTAATAGCTTGAAGAATTATCCTGGAAAAGAAATGGTTGATGTGATTGGCCTAGAACTAATGAAAGAAGAGCTTTGATGAAACGTTGATATTTACTACAGTCTGCCTACTGAAGCAATATTCTTCATTAATTCTTTTTTTCTTTAAATTCAAATTAACGTTGGGATAGTCAGCATTAAATGCTCTCCACTTAGGAGGAATGGGATTTGTCACAGGGCAATGGCACTGTGGCATTCCTAGAGACTTTTCCATCACTAATGGCTAATCGGCTTAATGAGGGTGTGAACAGATTGCTAACTGCTGTGGTGGGCTTTGTGGGCTGGAGGCAGGAGGTTCAAGTCTGGCAACGTCAGCAGGTAGCTGGCGAGGAGGTATGGTTGGCTTCTGCACCAAATGTGATGACACTCTTGTTTTGTCTTCATTTTTCTTGCAGGCTCTTGTTCTCAGGAGCAGTTTCCCTGCCAAATGCCATCATGTCACATCTAAGCTGTTTGTTGTGTGTGATGTTGTACTCTGGGAGCACGGAGAGGCTCTCTACCCAATCCAAGCCTAAACGTGGGGCAGTGGCACTGCCTCTGTGTGGGTAAAGGCACAACTGGAGGCTGTCAGCTGCTCTGCTCTGCTTTACTCTGTGTCTCCTGCTGCATAGGGTGCATCTGTGTTTGGCAAAGTGGGCATGCCTTCTTGTTGAGAAATCTATACGGAACTTGTACAGCTGCTATTGCTAAACATAACTAGCACTTCTGTACCAGCCTTGCCTGACGCTGCAAATCTAAGGCCACAAGTTTCAATAAAGCCACCGATAAAGAACTGCCACAGACCTGTGAGATGAAGAGTGCACAGGCCACCCGCTGCTGCTTTCTGAGGTGAAGACAGAGACTCAGAATCTAACCCAAGGCTCTAATCCAGGGTTGCTTGCTGGGTGACACAGATGTGTTCTCAGTGCCTCGCCAGCACTGCAGGCATCAGGTGCTTGCGGGGTACAGGGTGATTTTGTTGTGCCATTGTGTTGATGCCAAGTTTCCACTGGCTTTAAATGTCTGATGGCTGATGTTTGTAAGAATGAACGCTTCTCTGATAGAGGAACGAGGTTACTTAGTCCTACTAGAAATAAATAAATAAAAAGTAAAACCTGCAGAAAATGTCTAGAAAATCTTTGAAGGAAGAGCATTTTTTTTGTATTCCTTAGGAAGCCTCCTGCAACAAGCATGGGGAAGGCAGGGAACCAAAAAGAGGAAAGCACGGATGAATTCCAACTCGCAGCAGAGCAGAAGTTACAGCTGCAGTTCAGAGCAGGCAGGCATTTACAGTTTTAATAGAGGTCTTATCTCTCAGTGCTCTCAAAATGCTGCGCTTTCTTCTGAAACTCCATCTCCTCCCTACTGTTGGCTGTAGGGCAGGCACTGCTTTGCATCCCTGTGCCATAAGTCTGAGTCAGGCTGCAGGAACACTGATGGATGGATGCACCGACCTGAGCTGCAGGTGCAAGCTCAGTGTCTTCAGGCACATGTAGCATAGTTTTTAATATTTCTCTTACTACGTGTGGATACTTCACTGCTGGGGTTAGCTGCAGCTCAGTGGGGTTTTGGAGCTGACATTGCCTTCTCGCTAGGACAGTGGAACCATTAGGCACTGACATGGGGGGCTGTAAAGAGCACTGTGCTAGGGAAACAGTAAGGATCATTAGGAGGACTGGAAGGATGATGAGAATTTAAGTGAATGTGTTTTCTTTTATGACATATTAGACACTTCCTAGAATATACAGTTAACCTGAGTTTCTACAATTGGGATGCATTTCTCTCCTCAGAACACGGTTCCAAATGAACTGTTACTACAATTTCAGAAATGTCCTTCAGATATTTTATATACATATAATGTTAACAGGTGATTTTATGTACAGGTAGAGTTCCATGCAAGTACCCAGGTTTAGTTATAAATACTAGATTTAATCTCGGTAAGGACACTTTAAATAAGTGAAATATGGACAGGCATCAATTCCCAGGTCACCTCATTAAGTGGCATCCTTGCTTTGTAACTTTATTGTGCTAAGCAAGCAGTGTGTATACTGATTAAGATGACTAATAGTTATGTTGGATCTAATTATAGCATTGCCAGGAGGCTCCATAATGGTTAAGGGTCTGTCAATGTTTTTGCTACGTTGCTGCATCGTGGTGGTAGCTGTAATGCAGTACTTGCTCCTTTCCATGCAGCAAAAGGTTTCATGCTATGTTGTTGCACACTGTGTTGCAACTGGTTCTATTTGCATGAATAGCAATATTTTGTATTTGAGCAGAATCTCAAAACTGGACAGAAAGAGCAGCAGGCACAAAACCCTTGGGGTTCCTGTGGCACCACCCCACGCTGGGGTGGCTGTGGAGCATTGTGACTCTTCCTTGATGCTCTTTGATGAAGTGCTCTTGGAAAGCAGCAGTGGGCATTGGTCTGGGAAAATAACCAAATGCAATAAATGCAGTCCTGAAGCTAAATCCTTGACCTGGGCAGAGTTCTTTGGGTTGCATGTTCTTATCTGAGGTTCAGACTGCCATAATTGGAGGATTTACTCATTTCTATGTGCAGAAAGTGATGCCCCAGTTCTAAGGCAGACATGAGAGTGAGGACTGCAGATCATACCTCACTGTCACACAGGTCCCACTGCTGACATGAGTGCAGGTGTTAGGTGCAGGATGAAGCTTTTGAAGTGGAACTCATCAACAAATCAGTGGCTGTGACGTGTCACGAGTGGAGAAGCAAGTAGTTAGGATGAACTTTATTCCATGATCTCTTCTGCTGCAGTGTATTGAGAGTTCTTAAAATAAATAAATAAAAAAATAAAAATAGGAAACATAAAAAATGACGAGGTTGAAATAGATTTGGTGAAGAACTATAAATACAGATCTGGAATAAAAGCTAATAGCCACTTCTTTTTAGAGAGTCCAGTATGGCTCATGGAGAAATGTTTAAAACTGTTATTACAAAAATGCTGAAAAATGATTTCAGTTACAGATGCTGTACAGCTGGAGAGCAGCAGAAATACATCGTGTCTTTTCAGACAAGACTGTGAGAAATGAGTTGGGATTGTGTGAATTTTAATGTGTTGAAAAGGCAGAACAAGTTGGATGGGTCTCACTTGAAAGCAGCTCAGAGCAGTCTGTCACTTGGAGCACGTGTGGATGAGGTTCTCTCTGTACAAGGAATGATGTTTTTGGCCTGAAAGCTCAGAGCCAGGCATTGTATAACTGTAGTGGGTGACAGCTTCAGTGGTGGTTGTGGCAGGAAACTGGCTGCAAGATAACACCTCTCCAAATAAATAGTGTCCATAAATGCTATAGCACTCATTAAGAGCCATGTCCTGGCAATTAGCAGTTTCCAAGTGGCAAAGGTGATCGAGGATGTTTCATCCCATGAAACGTCGGATCTTTTGTGAGCTGTCAGCATACAAGAAGGACCGGGATTAAGGCCACAGCTTTCTCCTCAAGGCTGTTTCAGCTCAGCGTGGCCAGCAGATGAGCAGAGGGATCTGCTTTTTGTTGGAGCACTGTGGAGGGGTGCTGCCAGTCACCAAGCTGCCCACTCGGAGCATCTCTGTGCCAGAAGCTGGCTGGCAGTGGAGGAGCCCTGCTTAGTTTGTTCTGTGTTGTCTGAAGCCAGGTGTGTTTCTGTGTCCCTGCAACCCCCAGCTCTGGGGCATTCTCCTTATTGCCTGGATCCCTTCTGCCACTTCTCTGAGAGCTGCATCACGTGGCCCAGTGGCAGCTCTGCTGCTGGGCTTCTGAAGGTACCAAACACCATCGCCACGTCTCTGGGTGATGTTTAAATCTTGTTCTATAGCTTCTACCACCTCTGTCCTGCAGCCTCCATCACATTTGAATGGAAGCTCCCTCAAACCCACCTGGTGAAAGAGCTCATCAGCCTCATCTGCTGGCTGGTCTACCTAATTAAATACATGACTACAAATGTAAAACCATAGGATGGTTTGTGTTGGGAGGGACCTTTAAGATCATGTACTTCCAACCTCCTGCTGTAGGCAGGGACACCTCCCTCTAGCCCAGGCTGCCCACAGCCCCCTGCAGCCTGGCCTTGAGTGCTTCCAGTGAGGGGGCATCCACAGCCTTGCTGTGCAACCTGTTTCAGTGCCTCACAGTAAAGAATTTTTCTACTATCTTGTCGAAATCTTCCCTCTTTCAACTTAAAACTATTTCCCCTCATCCTGTCACTAATGCTCTTATAAAGAGTCCCTCCCCAGCTTTCCTTGCAGGCAGCCCATGCTGCCCCAAACCAGCAAAGGGCTGGTGGAGGTTGCAGCCACTGTGCAGCCCACACCTTCCAGTGCTCCTGCTGAAATCCTGGTTCAATGTTGGCTGCCTTCAACAAACTGCATGTCTGTGGGAGCCCAGGGGAAGGTGCACAAACCAAAACAATGGGTACTCTGCGTAATACTGTGCCATTTTGTGTTCCCTGACAGCCTGTAGCTAAATACGCAGATGTGCACACCTCCTGCATCAGCTTACAGTCCTTGCTTTTATTTTGGCAGACCGTGGCAATCTGTGGTCATAACATCACTGAACATTGAGATGATTTTAGGCAAAGCACTCTGATTTTAATGTACCTGTGGTTAGCTGGTGTATTGGAGTCAATGGCTTCTGTGCTGTGAAAAGCCTTCTTGGAAGGGAACTTCAGTTGTTGAAATCCTGCTTGGTTCTTTCCAGATTATTGCTGTGGTTTCAGAGGAGCAGTGTAGGGGCTGGAGGAATGCTTGCAGCCAACTCAGTGCAGAAAGGTTTCCCCTCTACTTCCCAGTAGCATCAGCCAATGAGGTCAGCCATATAGAGAGGCACGGATGTGCTAACCATTCCTATTTAGCATGTAGATTCAAATTCAAGATTTAATTCAACAGCTGAATTAAAGCCCTGTTATGCAAGGCAGGATGCAGAACAAAAGCAGATTTCTGTGTTTCAGGTTGTAGGAAATGGGATGGCTGGATGAAGCAGATGGGTGCTGGAGGTGGTGGGGAGGGGGCTGCAGCAGCTGCAGCAACTCCCTGACATCCTGGCAGAAGCAATCTGACAGAGCCTGACAACGACTTCCAAGCATTCATCTCACCAAAAAGGCACACTTTGTGCATTGTTGTTACTTGGTCAGTATTTTCAGGAACTAACTTGAATATGTGTTTACTTGGAGCCTGTCTTGGTGCTAGAGCAGACACCAGAGATGAGCAAATATGTGGTGAGGGAAGATGTGCGTGGCACTGAGTTTCCTTCCTGTGTGGCTTAACAAAAATAAGACTCACTAAAGCCAAGCAAACAAACAAAACGCCTCACTTCCATCAAAATAAACTGTGTGTGAATTAAAACAAGGTGAAAAAGGTGAGTGTGTACAAGGGAAGGACAAGAGCCTACAGCCATGTGATTGACTGGCACTGGGGCGGTGTGGCACTGGGATGGATTACTTGATTTTCCAGTATTTGGCATGGCAGGTCTTAGTGCTTCACAAACATGAACTGATCATTTGCCTTTGTTGTCAGGGAGTCATTTTGCTTCATACACAGATGGAAATCCAGCTGCGTTAATTACTTGCCTCGAGGGGAAGCAGGTTGCCATGCATCTCAGTGCATGGATGCCATGAGAAGCCCCACGTCCCTGTGGGGCTGGGAATGGTGATTTCACAGCATCTTTCTGGTCTGAGTCAGGCTGAGGTAACCACAGAGCTGAGTCAGTGAAGTTTCTGTGCGTGTCATCTCTTTTACTGGAGGAGTGAAGCCCTGAACTACTTTTCTAATTAACTGCGATCACTGATATAACGGTAGGAATCCCCAAACTGTGAGATTTACCATGCTTTTCAGCTCTGTAAAAACAAAACAAAACAAACAAACAAAAAAAACCCTATAAATAATATGAAGACCTGATGTTTTTCCCACCTGTGATATTGTCTTGCTGGCCTCCTTCATTGGATGGGGCCAATACCAACTGTCATCGAGACCAAACACAATGTGCTCATTAAGACTCTCATTTCTCTCTGCCTTGCTTTACAGCTTCTTCCTTTTTGGTCTAAAGTATTAATAATAATTAAAAAAAAAAAAAGCTAAAAATCAATGTCAGGTGTAAAAAGTGTTTATTATCCTTGTGAAACCTAAT